TGGAATGTTATTCAAATAGTGTGACCACATACACCTTTCTTTTTCATTTACATCCTCTTTGAACTCGATGACTCCAATTGAGCCAAAAGCACCAGAAATATTCACAATGAATAGTGATGTGGTTTGAAGAAGTGATTTTCTCCAAGTTATATTTCCTTATAATCTTATTGACTATTCTACTCTCCTATTACCTCTTTTACACACATGATATGGATGCTTGTGCCTTTTATATATGCATATAAAGACATGAGATTGGTTTTTATAAATCATAAAAGATAGAAGTCTCATTATTTTACACTTTACAGTAATTTGATTTTGGAAGATACAGGATGCATATCGAACTGAAATTATCATGGTGATGAAAGCGAGATGTATATATTTTACAGACTTTTGGGGAGCAACCAATATTCATGCTGTGGAATGCAAAGGGGTTAGTTGAAGGTGAACCAGGCTGAAACTTGGAAGACGAATGATATTTACCATGACTGCTTTCTATACTTAAAACAGCCTTTATAACTATATTGTTCATAATGTTTTGTGACCTAACAGAAATAATAATCATGGTAGTTACTCCTGCTTCTTTCAAATAGAATCATTTGTGACTCTACAGAACAATTTTGCCTTTGCACTCCTCTACTATGTATTTCATTTTTAGTTACTCTTATACCAGCAAGTATTTCAAAATGTTTCAAATGAGTCTTACTATCCAATAGCAATACATGGTGCGTAACATCCTTCCTGATACATCTGATGCATGCAACAGCTCAACATGGACTCCTTTTCTGCATTCAGCTCTCTCAGTGAACATTTTTACAAGTGCTCTCCCCTTACCTACCCTGACCTTGTTTTCAGAAAATCCCCGCCTTTCAAAGCCCATCATTTTGTTAAGGCTCAGCGAGGAGCTAGCAATATAAACAACTGTTGCTGCTTTCAGAAGAGAACACAGCCTCTCTCACACCGGACATCTGCACCTGTGTCACACCCAGTGCATAAGCATCACAGGGGAAACAGTCTACAATTGAGGAGTAGGGAAATGTTTTCAGCAGCAGGTGCTCTGTCCCAATCAATGGAGTGAGCAAAAGGTCCTTGCAGGAATATACTGATAGTAATGAATTTTGGGGGTTGCAATGAATAATTGAATGAGGTAGCAAAGCAAGGGACAGACAATAAAATGCTTTTAATTTATTTTGAAGTCAGCCCCACAAAAAACTAGGAGGCAATTTTAGCAATTGTGAGTCATTTTCTAAAGAGAAATGCCACAGTGATCATTTCTGTAATCCTATAAAGTTTTAAATCTGGAAGTGTGTTTAAAGAGTCATGAAACAACTCATCCATAGAAATAAAACTGACCTTAAAATGCATAATTTATGTTCTGATTTCTTATTTATTGATAAGGAAAACCAAAGATGAAAGGACATGAGTGACTTGTACAATTGATCAATTTAGATTAGAAATTTTAACAACTCCATGAGATCTAAAACATATGAACATAAATAATATCAAAGACTATAAATCTACTATGTTTTTTCATTCCCCACAGTATTTAGTGAAATCTTAGAAAACATGCTGAGCTCTCTCTCTCTCTCTCTCTCCATATATATATATATATGACTAGCATAGAGCAAGGAAAACATTAATATAGTACTATGAAGGTTTAATTTTCTCTCATCCATACTTGCAGTGTGTAGGAAAATTACTTAACCACTCTGATCTCAACTTCATCATCTACATATAAAAACATTCAGCTAAGAATATATAATATATAATTATTCCACTTCTGTAATTCTCTAGGTTTTCAAAAATGTCCCATATTTTTTTTCTTTTATATATTGTCTAAGAGAGAAAGCTTTGTCCCATCTACAAAGTAGCTTACCAAAAAACCCCACACAATATCCTGAGATAAAGTAGTATAAAAAAGTATTTGCTTAGTTAACTTTCCACAACTCAATAGAGAGAAAGTATACAATGGCTAAACCTAAAATATATTCCAAAGAAAAGAAAAATGATTAGGAAAATAGGTGGCTTATTTCAAGATTTGTTTGTTTTTTGTGAAAACAAATTTTACTGTTCACTACTATCTAAAACTACTGAGATTAATGTTATAGAACAATGACAAAATACAGTCACTGATCTCCAAAAAATACAATATGGATTCTGTATTATAAGCAAGGCAACATCTTCTAAAGATTCATCTCAAAATAATTATTTGGTAATTATTTAAATCAATATTTACTACGTACAAATTTACTGTAATCAAATTCACACAATATTTAAATAGTAACATTACTACTTATTGCAACATATAGGTAAAGTAGATTTATTTACCTTTAAATGCCTCTATCTTATTAAGTGTTGATAGTAGAAAGACAAGGTTAACAAAAATTCACGAATCTGAAAATAACCATTTCACAAATGTGTCCAGGGGAAGGAAATTCTAACAATAAAGTAAATAGAGCATTTCAGGTTTTAAAATTTCATTTTTCTATCTGATGATCAATCTTTTTTTCATTTGTTATCACAACCAAATGTCTATATGCAGGTGATGTTATATGTGTTCAGGATCTCAAAATCAAATAAACAAACATAAAGAAAGCTTGGAGGAGAAAGAACTCAAAACCATGAAGTTTTTATAAGTTCATCAAGAGTGTTAATGTGTAAACAATCAGTAATAATTACATCATTGTACATTTTGTCCTCCTTTGGAATGTGAAAAATAAGCTGATGTAAAACCCTCTGTACTATAATTTTAAGATATTACAGCAAAGGTGTGCTCATAGAAAAGGGCAATCTTTGTACAGTTGAGGTTTCCTCCTAAATTACTTCCTCTAAACATTTAAGAAAATATCCCTTTATTTCATGTTCTCCTTCAGTTGAATATTTCCTCTTCGTTCTTTCAAAGAAATCACTTGCAAAAAGAGCTCTCTAGAAAATTATCTTTACTTCTGAAAATTATCAGGGAAACAAATTAGCTCCAGAGCTTCATTACCTAGAGCAGACCATCAAAATAACCGGGCCAGAACATCCAGAAACCAGCAGGCAAAACTTCAAGCTCTTCCTTCTTTCTTGACAAATATTTAGTCAAATATCAACCTCAGAAACTTAAAACTTATTTCCCCTCTCTATTTACTTTCAGTTCCACAAATTCTTTCAAGTCATAATAGCTCTTTTGAGAGATATATTTCCAGAATGCAGGTGGCAACACAATGGTTACACAAAGCAATATGTACAGATAGTGGCATTTTTAAAATTTTGAAGTCTTTGACTTTCAAATTATAGTCTCTAAAATAGGTATGAGGGGCATTCAAACTTTGTAATTACCTTCTACCCATGGTATTGTTTGCATTTCTTTATTTCTACACACTTTCAGTTAAAGTGGATTTTTAAAAGCTATGGCTATTTTAGCATTTCTTTGAAGTTAATTTACCAAAAATTAATAAATAGTTATTCAAAAGACCATCACAAAAATAAAATGGTTCTCATTTTTTTCCTCCTCTCATTTCAGTCATTAAAACTATGAGTTGAGAAAGAAATATCATAAATGTTTCTATACAATAAATAATATTCTTCCTAGTGTATATATCATTTCATATATTATTGGGTATTTTCCTCAAATTCCATTTTATTAATTTGGAGGTTGCTTCATGTTTTCTAATATTAATTTAAACAGCTATTAAATGTTTCTACAGAAAATTTATTAACGCAGCATTTAGGACCCTAAATTCCCAGGATAATGGTCATTTAAATGTAAACAAGTGGCTGTTTATATAATCTGACTTTAAAGTTTATGTTTATTTATTAAAATCCCATCATATTATTATAAATATCTTATTTGTGTAAATAGCCGTTAGTTAATTCGCTTATGTTCATTTCATTAAAATAATACTTTTTCACTCCATCAAATTAATAAGTAAAATCCATTGAACACTAATCATACTATCCATTCTCTTACTTACAAAAGTAGGCATAAATAAATTTAAACATTAACCGTGCTACTGATCCAAACATACTCCAATAAACTTTACTTATATACCATACAAGTATAGCATTCATGAAAAGATCACTTTAGTAAAAAACACAAATTTATATAATTTGTCTTTTCCCTTCAGTATTTGTCTTTAAAAAGTTTCTTGCCAAACTTTACTACATAAGCCATCTTCTCTATCTTTGCTGCTGCCAAGTCCTTTAATCTTTTAATGAAGTGAATGATTCATTTGTCTAAATTAATTTTCACTTTAGTCTAGATGTATCATCAATATAAAATAAACTAGCAACAGTTTCATGATCAACAAGTGCTTTTCTAATCAAAAGGTCAAATATTTTGTTAGCATAATAGCATCAATAATGGAATTCTATTAGTTTAAAATTTTTCAATCAAAGCCTTCATTTCTACAAATTATTAATTCAGCATAATGAAAATAATTTGCACTTGTATGACTTTGTACCCATGAAAAATTTTAATTCATTCAAGAATACAGAGAGAATGGAAGAAAGTGCTTTAATATGTGTTATATTGTAGAGGATAAAAAAATATATAGCCTGTGTCAGTATATTAGAATCATAGCACAAAATCTTTGATTTGTATGATAGTGTCTAAAAGTTTCCCTCCCACCAATACATTTGTAATAAATATGTCTGAAAAGTCATCACAACTTTCAATGAGGCAAATTTTTCAGTCAAAAGTAAAAATTCAAATTAAAAAATGCTATTTTTTGGAATGCTTCATTTACACTGAAATAATAAAATGTTATAAAGCTTTTATAGTAAATATTTACATTCCTTTCATATTACATTTCAATGAAAGCACTAACTTTGCACACTCTGCCCTTTCAGAAGTGGAATATGGGATTAATATCTACAAAACAACACTCTCAAAGAAAATCAGTGCAGCAAAGATACAAAAACAATACTCAAGTTCAAGGGCTTTTTACATATCTAATTTTAAAGTCATTTAAATTGAACCAAATAAGAATTATAAAAAGTGGACTGCCAATGATTCTTACCTTCTTGAACCGCCTGAAATGGGTTGTTGCCATCAACAAATGTCACCGAAAATGTGATTTTCTCAGTCTGTAAGATGTCCTCATTCTGGTTGAGGTCGCCAACTGCTATGCGAAACACCTCATCATCCTTTTTGGCAGATTCATCAAAAATTGCTCCTAGAAAGAAGTGAGTGTTGCCATTAAACAATAATATTCAAATTCTGGCATGTCTACTGGAAATAAGTCAAAGCAATTCATGTATTTGGAAATGTATATTTTCACTTAAAGCATGCAGTTTATTACTGAAACACATTGTACCAAAAGCAGTGTGCTAGTTAAGCAGGAACTTAGTTACTTCTTTCAAGTGGAAATGATGAATAGTACATCAAAGCATTATTACATGGGGAGCATTGGTAAGAATTTAATAAGTACAAAAAGCTTTGAAAAGGACCAAGAGGTTAATACAGTGAATGTCTTACATCATGAGATCTTTAGGAATTCATAGCTTTGAAATGCTTTGTTTTATTTATTTTTCTGAAAAATAGGAAATAAAATCAGGAAACTTTCTGAGAGCTCATTTATAAAGTATAGAGAAATCAAACTTCTAGTATAATTTTAATTTATTTTTATTTTCTACCTTCCATCTTAAAAAACAATGATTTCAGGTTTTGTCTTTTTTAATAGTAGTAAATTCAATAATATTTGTAGAAAATTTAAAGATAGATGAATCTCTCAGGAGAGGTAACTGAGAAATATTTCCTAAAACCTAACATTTAGTCTTAGTAGATAATCATGGCATTCTTTCATTCATATATAATGATGATAATGATGATGATGATGATGATGATGATAAGTCTGTGGCTAACATTTATTGAGTGTTTGTCAGCACCATATTGGTTAAAGAGTTTTAAGAGTAAACTGATTTCAAATTGTGACTACAATTCATTAAATATAAGCCCATGACCAACGTATTTCAAATTCCAGTCACCATATTCATCATGTCTAGTAATAATACATATCTTTAGAATTATTAAGTGTTTTAAAGGAAGTTATCCATGCAAAATATAAGTAAATTGTAGTAACTAAAAAGTTTTCATTAAATGCTAGTGTTTTCTTATTTTTGAATATTTTGATTTATCATTAACAATGTTTATCACTTTCTATTAACTTTTCCATATCACAATATCCCATTTTAATCCTAAAATAATTATGTAATATGGCTATGCACGCTACTGAAATATACATCAAGTCACAGCAATTAAGATTCAGAACATATACTGAAATTCCAATAGTAAGAGCCAGAGTCCTTACTTATTTGATTCCAATGACCTTAGTGTAAATCACTAAAGGATCCTGCCTTCCAAAATTATATCTATCAAGTATAAAAAATGTTTATGAGGCTCCTGACTTAAAAATGTGGGAAACTCTTTCGCATCTTGTTTTATTTGTATTCAGAGTTTTATTTGTATTCAGAGTGACTTTTCTAGGCAGGCACACATTTTCAAAATGTTTACTTTTATTATTATAAGCATTTTGATCAATGTACCTTTTGTCTTTTGAATAAAACAGTCATACAACTCAGGGTCAATAGCATGACAAAGAGTGACTATATATTCATATATATATATATATATTTATATATATCTCCATATCCATATCCATATAAGCATTATATGTTTCTTGACTGTCCTTTGCAGTGTGTATATATAAAAATAAAAATGTATTTTTTATATAAGTTTACACATATATAGGAAGAAATAGATACAGACTATACATGTATACACAGATAAAGAAGACACATATCTACGAGTTGTGTTGATTTTATACCTCTGCGACAGGAGCCCCAAGTTTTCTAGTGAAATTCAGATTACAATATTAAACATATACTATCATCAGAGTCAAGATGATAGTATATGTTTAATAAAGCAAGGGTGAAAATATGTCCACTTCTGACAAGTATGGCAGGTTACTTTTGATCTCTCTACCCTAAGTGGCCTCACCATGACAAGGAGATGATTAATGTTTGTTTATAGAAGGACATTATGATGTGAACTTGGTACTAACTACATTGACCAGCCTCTCTAACCCTTTACTTTCCATTTCTTACCTAATTTGAATATCTGGCCAAGGCTAAGAACATGAGAAAAAAAGGAAGAATTTTTAAAAACAAATACATTAAGTGCTTCCTAATTATATTATGTAGTTATTAGCCAGGATATTAACATTTTTATATAATCAAATGTACATAATAGATATTAATTTTTACCTATCCTGTCATTTTTAAATCATATAGAAATCTACTTTAGAAACTAAGATTTTATGAAACTATGTAGGCAATAAATATTAGATTTATCTTGCTCATTTTAAGCTACATTCATGAAAACTCATTTTAATTTGCAATAATTACTATCAGTCTAGTTGTATCATTACATTGAAATGTAGTACCATCAGATTCAGATACACACATTTCTTTAATAGTTTGCAGAAAGTGTGATATAAATTTAAAATAATGAGTTCATTTTAAACCAAATAATCTATCACTTTACAGAGAAGTTATCCATATTTATATAGAGTCCCTTTAGCTTGTAATCTCTTCTAAATGGGTCTTCCAAAAGACTTTTTATAGAAGGTGATATTATTGATTTATACTTGAGCATTGATAATACATTTTAATGAAAGAATTTAACTATTACCTGACAGAACACTTAAAATTGCCTTAAACATTAAATTGAGCTTAAGGAAAGCTTGAAACTTACAGAAATTATAGCAAATTAGTCAATTCTGTGTTTAATTAAGATATAGTGGAAGGAAGCACACAAAAAAGCAGTTCACTTTGCAGCAAACAACAAGGAAGTGCACAGAAGAAACAGTCCATCCTACTTCACAGGCTTCAAATTCAATTATCTGTCTACTTCTTTCATCAACTATAAAGATATCATTTTGATTTTGCTTTGTACTAAAAGATTACATACAACATTTTGTATTAAACACAAATATTCTGAAAAACAACTGATAAGTTACGTCTATTTATATTTCACATTGGCCAAACAGGAGGGAGGAATAATTAAGTAACGAAGAAGAAAAGGAATACCTCTTAAATATTCCTGTTACAACAATTTGTAACTAGCCATTTCTATTGTTAATGGTTGATGATCTGTTCCTTCGATGGGAGAAAAATAAAGGTTTTATTTCTCTTCACATAAAGAGATTACATGTACATGTGGGAATGTATATATATAATTTGAAGTCTTTTTATTTTATTTTTTATTAAGGTATTTTTTTATTAAGGTATTATATTACCTTCCCGGGGTGAGGGCATGTATGGGAGGTGGGGTCAGTGGGTGGGGGCAATAGGAAGATATGTGCATATATATTTTTAAATACAAATTGAACCGTGTGTATTTATCTTCTTATATATTATGCATTAGAAAGAAATAATAAAATTTATATTAATATACAAACAGTGATGTCTTAATATTTTATTGTTGTGAAGGCTCATGTGAAAGTCAATGTTTTATATGATAAAATTACTCAATTTTTTATTGTCTAAAATTTTATATATGTCTCCTTCCCTCCCCCAACATTGAACCCCTGACCCCTCCTGCCCCCTAGGGAAAGCCCCCACCATCCCAGTGTCTGTGCCCCTTGGTTATGCTAATATGCATGCATACAAGTCCTTTGGTTAATCTCTAACCACCCCCTTCCGCTGCCATTTGTCTCTGGATCTATTTTTGTTCATCAGTTTATATTGATCATTGTATCCTACATATGAGTGAAATCATGTGATTTTTTCTCTTTCTCTGACTGGCTTATTTTGCTTAGCATAATGCTCTCTAGTTCCATCCATGTTGTTGCAAATTGTGAAAGTTCCCTCTTTTATAGAGGGGTATAGTATTCCATTGTGTAGATGTATCATAGTTTTTTAATCCACTCATCTACTGATGGGCACTTGGGCTGTTTCCAAGTCTCAGCTATTGTAAATTGTGGTGTAATGAACATAGAGGTGCATATAATTGTTCTGATTGGTGTTTCTAGCTTCTTGGGATATAGACCTAGAAACGTAATTACTGGGTCAAATGGAAGTTCCATTTTTAACTTTTTGAGCAAACTCCATACTGTTCTTCACAGTGGCTCTGTCAGTCTGCATTCCCATCAGCAGTGCACTAGGGTTTCTTTCTCGACATCCTCACCAGCATTTGTCCTTTGTTGATTTGTTGATGATAGCCATTCTGACAGGTTTAAAATTACACAAATTTAAATTTGAAAATATGCTTGCAAAATAAATCTTTCAGAAAAAGTTACTAACTCAACCAACACTATAACTTTCAAAAATATTCTAAGCTTTTCTAACTCCAGGTTTTTTTCATGATGTTGCTTCCATCATGGATATATTCCTTATCTCCTTAGCAAAATATCATTTCCTGGGCCATAGAAACTATTTTTATGCTTAGAATGTCTACAAGAGATCCTGAATATATTAGCTACTCAAGAACAGTAGCTGATTAAACTTTCCTTATATATAGTTAGGCATAATTTTATAAAATAGAATACTTTAATTTAAAATACATGATTAAAAATGTAAGTTGGGAATACATTTGAATTAAAACAAAAGTAGACTTGCAAATGTACTTGCCTGTGAATTTATTATCACAGGCATTATCAACCCAGAAGACCCAAACTATTCAGCAAGGTATTAATCATACACTCATAATGTTAGTTTGAATATTTAAATTATATTTGTGTGATAAATATAAGAAGGAAGAGGTGAACACAGTTTAGCTGTTAAGACAGAAGAAGAAAGAAAATGTCTTCAACTAGCTCAAGATTTTCTCTAAAAATACTGGAAAAGATTTTTATATATATCTTGAATACAATTTTCTACATACAGAATTGGTAAAATTACTGAAAGATCTATATATTTCATTTATATAACTAAAAGACCAAGTAATATTTAAAGTAATTGATTCTAAAAATCAAAAATAAGAATCAACACATCTGCTGGGACCGGTTTGGCTCAGTGGATAGAGCATCAGCCTGCTAACTGAAAGGTCCCGGGTTCGAGTCCGGTCAAGGGCATGTATCTTGGTTGGGGGCACATCCCCAGTGGGGGCTGTGCAGGAGGCAGCTGGTCGATGTTTCTCTCTCATTGAGGTTTCTAACTCTCTGTCCCTCTCAAT